TGTGGATTATTGATTTGATTTTTCTCTTTTCATTTCGTATTCAATGAAATTCATCTCGGATTTACTTAATCTCAATCTGAGGATCCTCTGTTATCTAAATTTGTTCTCTTTGCTATCTTGTGATTTGTAAGGCGATGGTTTCTGTTTTGGTTATATATATATAAAGGGTCTCATCTAATTTATCATTTGTAGAAGGTCAGGCAGTAGCTGCAGCAACAGCAGTTTCACTCAGCAGGAATGCGCCTCTTCTAGCTTCTGCTTATAGGACTGGTTCATCCAGTCCCTCCAGAGGATGGCTTTCAGGACTCCTTGCTATCCCTGCGGCAGGTTTGGATGACCTGACTCTTTTCTGCTCTTTTATAGCTCTTCTGATGTTGATGTGATTCAATGAATTTAAGATAAATGGGACCTTAAATAATTTTCATATTAATCCCTTCTGACTTGGAAGGACTGACTGTGGTAATGTCAGTGGCTTGATGAATTATATTTTTGGTAGCATGGAAATCTTATACTAACTCTTGCTTTCAAATCGGGCCTTTTTAATTTCTGTAGTATTCATTTTCTTTCCTTTGTTTGCTTTATATTGGCATCACTCCACTCTGTAATTCTTCTTTGCAGTTGATGTTATCAACAAATTCTTCAGATAGCCTCTTTCCAAAAGAGAAAATGTCTGATCCAAACTTTGTTTTTCCTTTTATCTCTGTAGCTTTCATGCTCCAGGAGCAGGAGTTGCATGCTGCTGAGGTGCTCTAATAATCAATTTAGTTTAAGTTTCACTGTTATTATTGCCTTCTCCATGTCTATCCTTATTCTTCATTCTGTTCATTGTAAGTAATGAACCTCATGCCTATTGCAGTTGGAACGCACTTTTATTGCTATCAAGCCTGATGGAGTACAAAGAGGACTGGTAAGGTTCCATCTGATCTGGATTGTCAATTTAAAATGTCTATGCCTTCAAACCAACTAAGCATAGATTGAAACAGTGAACCTCACTATGTGATACTGTATACTTGTTTTCATTAAGATGGTTCTGTTTGGAGAGTTACATATGACACATATCTAAACTGAGGTGTATTTTCTTTTTCCAGATTGCAGAAATCATATCCCGTTTTGAGCGCAAAGGTTTCAAGCTTGTGGCTATCAAAATAGTGGTTCCTTCAAAAGAATTTGCACAGAAGCATTATCATGACCTTAAAGAAAGACCCTTCTTCAATGGCCTGTGTGACTTCCTAAGCTCTGGTCCTGTTGTTGCTATGGTAAGAGAAAATCCTTTTTTTTTTCCCCCTTATGAGGAAAAGAGAAAACAAAAATCTTGAGCTGCTTTTAGCTATAAGAGTTTAGGCTGGACTGAGCTGATTTTGTTCCTTCAGGTCTGGGAAGGAGAGGGAGTAATCAAATATGGCAGGAAACTCATTGGAGCCACAGATCCTCAAAAATCAGAGCCTGGAACAATCAGAGGTGATCTAGCAGTTGTCGTTGGAAGGTATATGCTTTAGCTACAACAGCTCTCTGATTGCTCTATTGACTTCTTTCCATCAGTCCAAGTCTCATTTTCTGTTTTACGCAAGTTTACATTTGTGCCATGTTTATAATCAGGTTGTTATGAAAGCAAAATGATAATAATAATAATAATAATAACAACAACAATAATCTGGTCTTTGTTTTCCTGTAGAAATATAATTCATGGTAGTGATGGTCCAGAGACTGCCAAGGATGAAATCAATTTGTGGTTCAAGCCAGAAGAATTGGTTAGTTATACAAGCAATGCAGAGAAGTGGATCTATGAAGCCAACTAATTAAGGGTCTTTTTCCTTTTTTATAATCATTTATTCATCCGGGAATTTAGGTTCCACATGAAGGTGGATAGAGCAATAGTTTTTAGAATAAAGATGTGTTTCTTATCAAGATGAGCATTGAACTGCTTTCATAACCTTTCTAGTTGACAGATGAATTTTAATTTCACTAATAATCTCGTCCACAACTGCTTTATAGACAGTACAAAATCATTTCATTTTAATGTTTCTTCATTCCTTTCTGTTTTCTTTCTCTTCTTTTTCTTTTCCTTTTTTTTTTAAAAAAAATGAATTTCTCTTCCATTTTGTCTCTAGTGTATGTGAGAACATTGTCCTCTCACACTGATTTAGGAGTGACATAAAAGTTTCCTTAGTTTTGTTTGAGTTACATTTCTTTACATTGAATTGATTTTGTTAAAATAAATAAATAAATAAATAAGATGCAACACAAAATAGTACTCCCTTCTTTCCAGTTTCCACAATATATCTTACTTTGAACTATGCATACAGATTTATGTGTGATGTTAAAATGACATTTTAGACACAAAAAAAAAAAAAAAAAAAAGAAAAAATGAAAAAAGATATTGTGGGAGGGCTTCGATATGCTCCAATGCAAGCAAGTATTGTGTAAAATT